ATCTGGGTGAAGCTTGGTTGGGCTGCCTCTGATTATGTTCTTCTGGGACATTACTATGCTTGGTGCACAAGCACTCTGCTAGATCCCATCCTGTGAAGGACAGTGGAAAGCTGTAAAGTGTGGAAGAGCAGGGGTATTTGTGTTGCCCCTTGAACTTACTGCAAAACAAAGGATTAGCAATAGAAGCACAGGCTCCTTCTGTGCCTCCCCTCAACCTCCTTTTCAGTCTCCACTGATCAACACAGTTTTTGAGGCCATCTAGTAATTCAGCCAGGGACATGTCTCCAAACAATTGGTATCAGAAAACATTTTAGCTGTTCCACTGGAAGAAATTCCAGCAGCTACTCAAACTCTGCAAACTCATTTTGATGCGTATGGATCAAAGCCAAAGCCAGTCTCATCAAAGGGGTGGAACAAGAGAACCATAAGTGTACAAAAATGTGTAAGAGATCTAAGAGATAAGATTAAAGAAGCAGAAGTTCAGAAAGGAAACAAGGGCTTCAAGCCAGGCAGTGATTTTACTATTACATGGAAAATCACTGCAAAATCTACAGCAATATTAAGTATCTTGAAACTTTTGGGAGAGAGAAAGGGTACCTGAAATCATTTTTAGGTACCAAATTCCAATTATCCACATCATTAGATATTTTAAAAATATTTTGTACATCTTTTAAATCTACTCTTGTTTAATCAATGTCTGCTTTATCTGTCAACAATTTTGGCTGTATTGGCTCTAGCACTGCCATGTGGCTGGTATGTGTATTCTGACTCCAGCATGGAGGTGGGAAAAAAGTACTACTTATAGATAAAATAATATTTGTTTTTTCCCAGTGCCAGAAGCAGCACAGTGTAAAAGAATCTTTGTCTCTAGAGTTCCATGTTTTTCTTATAGTTTCTAGCAAAATTCAAGTTTCCTCAAGATTCTTAAAAGATTTTTTTTTGTAATAAAATGAGCAGGATGCCAATTTTTTTTTTTAACCAACACAATTAAGTCAAGAAGATACTGACTGAAATGGAAATTCTCCCCCATAAGGATGTGGAAGATAATTCTTTGCTATCTGATTGCAAGAGGCTGCTGGGTTTTAACTCTCTC